CTTTTAATCAGATCCTTAAATATAATGACCACTACTGTTAATGACTCATGATCTCATTACACTGAATATTTGTAATAAAAGTACATGCTGAATTCCTAAAACAAGAGATTCTCTACTATTACAGCAGTAAAACTGTTGCATTACCAAAATGCAACTTAGTCCTTCCCTATTATTATTATAGTAATAATAAAAGAAAGAATTTCATATGGCATTAAAAAAAGTTAATAGCCTTCTAATATAGAACCAAATAATGCTTAAGTTTCTTTATTACATTCTTATATCTGCTTTGGAAAATACCTATTTTAGTTAGGTGAACCAAATCAGATGATTGAAAAGTATCTTTGGAGGTCAGTTAGTACTTCTATTCTCTCATACAGGACTAGCTTTATCTAAACTTTATACAAAGTTTTAGATAAAGTTAAAATTAATTTTTCCTAAAGCTTTATCAACCACTGTAACAGGTTGTCCAGAGAGGCTGTGCAGATATCCATTCTTGGAAATTTTCAGTATGTTTACCATGTCTGCCTTCTCCGTCTCTCCTCAGCATAAAGTGTGACCTTGTACGTCCCACTTTTTTTCAAAATGGAGCAAAGAGCTACTTCAGAAAATGACAGAGCTCCTGAGAGCTGTGTAGCACACAGGTCGCCTTGCAGGAGGATGCAGCGTGATTCTATACATCACAGAATATGCTGAGTTGGAGGGGACACACAAGGATCACCAAGTCCTGCATACGAGTTAAGGGAGATGTTTGGATGTTTAGGCTTCAGTCCCAACCCTTGCTAATGATTTCAAAGCCGTTTCTTAATCCTTCTATGAAGAGCAAAATATGTAGGATTCCAATTATTTTTAAGAATGACATCAAATAGTATGGTCCATGTTATGTAACAGGTTAAATAATACTTTTTATTCTTAGAATCAACGTATTCACTGAATTTTCCCTGTGTTTTGCAGAATGACTGCAAATCATATCATGCAGTGACTTCAGGGAATTTGCCATTTTTGGTGGCATTCTATGTAAGTGTAGAGTAACCGAACATCCAATTTAGCTTTTATACCTTCTGGTACACTGCAAATAATCATTAGATCTGACTGTGCTCTTGAAGTAAATACGGAAGACACATGCTATGATGAGAACTTTCATTCCTCCTCATCTTATATGGCAAAGGTGTGAAAACTTATAGGAAAACATTGGTTGCTTTACTGTTGGGTTTTTTTTTAAAGGGAATGAAGCAATGGACCAAGGGCCTTCATAAAGAAGAGTCTTACAACTTCACGATGCTTTATGGTACTTTCCAAGACTACTTCTTCCATTCCAAAGAACCTTCGTGCTTCCCCTTCACTGTAATAGAGGTGCAGTTCCTTGTGAGGCCATTAGGTCTGGGGATATTCTAAAGTCACCCCATCTACCTAGTATGTTTTATACACACAGACACACACATACACACACTCTCACACTTATGGAGTACACGCAGGACCTGTACCTTTAATTCTAAACTTCTGTATTTCAGGGAGCTTTTGGAACTCAAAAGAAAATTCTGAAAGATCTATACTTTGCTCTGGAAAGAAATCCCCAAGAGAAATCTACGACTTTTGTACTTACACCTCTTCAATAAATCAGTAAAGCAGCCCCTTTATTTATCCTCAGTAAGGGACTAAGACAGCCTAACAGCATCTCAAGACTTCTGTGTATAACAGGATCCCTGAATCAGCAGGGAATATTTGTATGATTAGATTAGTATTGCGGACTCTGGAGTAAGACAGATGTCCACTGTAAAAACATTAAGTCAAACAAATGCAATTGTGTTACGTGACTGCTCTGCAACAGACACCTTCCATACAATGACATTCTGATATAGGGATCTGGTGTCTAAATTAAGCTATACAAAATGACACATCTTGTTGCCATCAAGTGGTTCTTATTTTATGGGAAAGAAGGTGTCAAGATTTTAAGAAACTAACTTAAATTGAAATAGATAGTAAAAACAGAACACTCTACCAGAAAAATTTATTTAGGAAAATGAAACAATACTGAGAAGAAAGCTTGCTGAAAGAGATTGATCTAAAAATACTTGAAAACTAAGATAAAAAGATAGCCTGCAGAGCAAATCTTCAGAAAGGAAAAACTTTATCTCTCAGTTTCGCATTTATCTCCAGTTGTCCTGAGGATGAAACATCTGAATTGAGTATGTCAGTAATAACCAGCACAAAAAACTATGTATGGCATGAGAGTTTATACGTATGTATGGTACTATAAAGTATTAAAAGACTGTAATTACTGTGTCGTGGCAATTCTTGAATTTTTAAACTGCATTTCAAGACAATTAATTGAACAGAAAAGGCAGCACACTGACATACTAGAGGATTAGACAATCAAATTGCTCAGTTGCTTCTTTATAACTGCATAAACCTCCATAAAATACCACAAAATTTATCCTAAATACACATTAAAATATCTTTTCATGCAATAACTTTGCTATGCTTTTATAAATTCATATGCCTTCTTTGCTGTTGAAAAAAAAGGTCCAAAGGGTAGAAGAAAGACTCATCACAAAGGCTACACACACCCAGACATGACCCTGTGTGCATCTGTGCGGAGGAACTAAACTTTAAAGTTCAGAAACTGGTGAACCACCCAGAAATATTTAGTCTGTGGCACCTCTGGTAACACAACCTGCTACGGAGCCTAGGGAAGTAATGCCTTTGAGACAGTCATCTGCAGAAAAGGAGATCTAGACATTCTTGCTAAGAACACCATAGCAAGGTATTGATCATTATGAAACCTGGTGAAGTTACAGTGCTATCAAAGGAAGGGCTCTTCACAAAGGCCAGGGATTCTCAATAAGGCTGAACTGCATGTAGCTTTGCCTTAAATGAAAGCCTGCTGCATTCTCATAACAAAAGTATTTCTGAGATCTGCTCTTGCAGCAGTATTACACGTAAAATGCTCCTTTCTCTTTATGTACACTCTTTCCCTCTCTCTCTATGTACGTGTGTATATATATATCTGTATGTATGCAAGTATGTATGTGTGCCTAGCTGAGGCATGCAAATAAATGCCACAACTGACCCCTTCAGGTTGCCCCTGCCAGAACTCTCAGTAGAGTGAGGCATAAATCACCTTAACATACTCTGGCAAACTCATGCTCCATTCAGAGCATGATCCTTTCTCACCTTCTATAGAACTGCAGACTCATTAATGGCTCTATATTGCTTACTGAATCATTCAAGTATACACAGGGCATGATAGATTTCTTCCTGGCATCTCATTTTTCCTGGGTTATGTAATGACACCCTTTCATTTTTGAAAGGCTTGCCAGGTTATGCTCCTTGCAAAGGCACTGATGAATATATGTTCTGGGACAAGCACGTTGTTTGCAGTTCCTTTTGTTTTGAAATGCTGACAAACTCTTCAGCAGATGGCTATTAAATGACATCTCTTTAAACTGAAGTCACAGAAAAGTAATTCTGAGAGATTGTAATCTTTACAGTAGGAGAGTAAGAAGAATTAAGTTTCTTTATTTAGAGAAGATGACTTTCTATTTTGTTATCTTTTAATAGTTCATCAATGTGAACAGAAGTAAATCCTGCAGCTTGCTTTGACCTATGGACAACAGATAAACCCCAATAATTTAAATAATTATGTTATTCAAACTTTACTCACTATTCAAACTTTACTCACTTTATCATATCCATACCACGTAATATCCACAGCACTGCATTCCAAGATGAACCTGGAACTGGAATAAGGAACTGAGCCCTTTTTTACAAGCTTCTAACCAGTGTTTGGTTGCTAATAACTCTGTCAGAAAACCTTGTTTTTAAAAGATAGATATGAGCTTGAAGAAGCAAAAACAATACCTAATTGGATATCCAAAACTATAGGGGTTTAACAATGACTTAAAGGAGTGTTAACTGCATATGTACATGCTTTTTCAAACTCTATTAGCAACTTACTTGTATACCCTGCCTGCAGTCAGGATACTTGACCCTGGGGCCATTCAGTGTCAGGGAATGACACTGAGATGACTTCTGCTGCCAGGTGGAGCAATAACTCTCCCCAGTTTAGTTCTATGTAATTATCATAGATGACATCTACTTCAGCTTATGTGTAGTTACTTGCTACACTGTGGACAAATTATCAGGTATCCCACCATTCACACTGTAGTTAGACAGTTTTCCGTGGCTTTAATCTTTCAAGGTTATTCATTCCACAGGATGCAGGCCAGGTGAAACAAGAGGATTCTGAATTGCCAGACTAGTCCTAGAGCTAAGAATTTTATTCTAATGTACTCTTTAACAAAGCTGCACTGATACAGTAGCTCCTGGCAGACTTTGTCTCTCATGGTCCATCTTACTCTTTTTCACTGTACGCATTCACCAAAAGCATGAGAAGGTAAGATGTTCATCAAGGAAAATTCTGTTCCCAGTCACACAGGAATGAAAGGAAGAGCTGTCTAACTGGTCAGACTTTGGGCATACTGGATTGGGTCACTGCTAGATCAGACACTTCACAGAGCATCTTCTTTTTATCACATTTGAGGATGGCACATTCTAGCAGCCTGTGAGTAACACAGGGTCAAAAGAAGAGTGGCGGCATTAACACCAGTGTACATAAATACAGTGGTCTTGGCTTGATAAAAGTTCAAGAATGAGGTGCTCTAAGCTTTTGGGAGAATGCCAGAGGACCGTGAAAGCACTCTAATACACTTCTCAATCTTATCTGGTTGCAGCTACTGCAGCACAATAGTGTTCAGTGAAATACAGCCTCCCTTTACATTTCTGTGATATTATACAAATCTGATTTCCATCTCCCTTGCTTGTAAGACTTTTTTTTTTTTCAAATTTACAGCAAAATCTAATTAATATGTTTTACCTTTTTGCACCTTAAAAGGATATTAGAATGACACACATCTGAGATATATCAATTTTTCAACAGGTTCATATGGTTCTCTGCTATTTAAGGCACTATAAAATGCATTGTTTTCCAGTACACCACTTACCCTCAGCATAGGGCCATTCTGGAACACATGGGGTTCATCACAAACTACACAGTATTCATTCAGTACTGGTATCCGCTGCTCAGCAAATTCGATAGTCTGAGAACAATGAAAATGATAGTAACAATATCTGCTTAAAAATAATTAACAGTTAACTCATGTTCCTCAGCGTTTCATAAAATGGGTAAGATATGATATCCTACCTGCACAAGAAAGCCACGGTGTCGCTCGGGAACGCATTTTGCACCATAATTTTGCTGCAAGGAAAAAGTTGAGGCAAATTCAGTGTTGGTAGACTAATTACAGGGAAGTGGTAAAGCACTTGTATTTTTTGCAGGCAGATACACTAATTAAGCAGTATTTGCATCCAAAAAGATCTTTCACTTGCACAAACCAGCCATTACAAATAATCAATCCTCTTGCTGTTTACTGAGTGTGTGGTAGGTTTTTAGTATCTCTTTTTAGTTCTTAAATTGGATGAAGTTTTGTATCTCACCATCCCAAAAACCTGAATCTCAAATGGAAACACCAGTGCCTTCACTCGAGCCTAATAAACTGGTATTTGGTAACTTTCATTATATTTTAACTGCTATCCAAACATGGGCTATTCATTTAGGTTTGAAAGACTAGTGTAACTCTCAGAAAGGCTGAAAACCTTTTTCTTTCATATTTACTAAGATCTCCGTTCTGTAAGCACCACAGAAACAGATCTCTCTATGTTCTGATACCACTCAAATTCTTTTTTTTCAACACATAGCAACATAAATTAGAAGGAACTTCTGTTACAAGAGTCAGTAAGGTACAAAATTCTAGGCTGACATCTATTGGAATCAAATCTTGTTTTGAACAAGTCAGATCAGCTCCATTTACAGTGTTTTGGGGGTTTTGCTTATAGGCTTATGTCCTTTCATTTCTCTAACTGCTTAATTGCTTAACTGCTTTTCCATTTTTCTCCTGGAAAACAATCCTACTTGTATTCACGTATGAGACCCTAATATTTCATCTGAGAACTGAAGAGAACTTAGGGTCCTGATTCATTACTTTCACATTCCACTGAATTCAAATTATAGTTAGGGATGCACCCATACATGTGGTGCCTGCATATAAAATGTGAAATAGACTCTCAATGTCCTTCCACTAACATCAGTCAAACTGCATCTGATCATGTATGTGATGATCTTCCCTCAAAGTAAATGATTTCCAGCAATAAATTACGGGTAGTTTTTATAGGCTGTCAAGCAGGGCTTGCCTTTCTTCCCTATCAGCTGATAACATCACTAATGATAACATCAGTAATGAACTTAGTCAGCTTTTCATTTTTTTATAAAAACCAACAGGACTTTTCCTATTAACATCAGGAGAGAAAAGTCTTGCTATTTTTAGACATCCTCTGCTGATTCAGAAAAAAGTGCATCTCTAAACTGCAACAAGTAAAAAGTCTGACAGCTCGTCTTAATTTTGCTGTGCCTGTCACAAAAACCAACCACAAAGCATGTATATAAATGATCGTATGATAGCGTACCACTGCTTTTAGATCTGACTGAGTATAGCTTACAGCTTACTAAACTAAATTACCATGAGAAATAGCACACTCAATGTAATTTCATTAATCAGAATGCATTATTTTGAATATATGTATGGCATCCAAAGAAAGAATCCACTTCCAAGGCAAAGGGAGTGGAGAGGACTATTTTCTAAATGCCTCTCCCAAGATCTAATACAGAAAACAGACTGGTGCCTTGAAAGAGTGCAAACAAACCCATTCCTCCTTCTAAAGTATAAAAGCCATCTTTTAAGAGGCATAGGCAGAAGAATTAATTTTCAGAGCTACTCTTTGTTTTCCCAATCAGTTATGTCTCTGGGGAAAGTAAGAGGCCAGTGTGGGCCTAACTTCTTCCCCTGGCTTCTGACTTCTGCCAATGCATTTGAAAGTTTAACCTCTCACAAATCACAAACGTGCAAGAGGTGAGCTGAGCTGTGACTGTGTTCCTTCCAGTATGGTAATGAAGGTAGAAGAAAAGACCAGAAGTAGAAGTGATTTGGGACTCAAAAGAGCTAATCAACAGTTGCTTACCCTACAAAGCAAAAAGGGAAATGAGAAAAGCCCTTGCAACTAACCTAATTTTGCAGCAGAGAAGTGTACACTCTCCCTTTTTCCTGCGGGACGCAGGAAGGAGTTGGATGACTGAATTTTTCCCATGGCCAGCAGCTGTACATTGAGCTGCATTCAACATAACATATAACATCTCTGTCCTGACCTCAGCAAATTCTGATTTTATAACTTAAACATATGTGCATGCACAGCTGTTTGAATCCTCCTTAAAAAGCTGACTTCATTGCTCTTGCCTTCCAATATATCCAGTATAGCCACTATCATAGCTCCTAACATCTTTGCATAAAAAGCGTAACATTTGGAAAATAATCAGAGGAAAATGAGCAGAATAAAAAAACAGTATTACGCACAGCAGCTTGTGAAGGTGATGATGAAGATGGTGTTAAGATACCAATAAGCCCTGAGGTAAGAGAGAGCCTCCTGCTCTCCGCCATGGTGGACTCCTTGAAAGGCTCCATTTTGGATGATTTAGGGGCACTGGAGTAAGTCTTGGTGAGTAACTTGTGATTCTTCAATCCATCCAATTCTTCCATTCTAAGATTACTGGAGTAGGACCTACTTAAAAGTTTGTGGGGCTTCAAGGCGCTGTTGTGCTCACATCGAGGATCCCCAGAGCACGACCTACTTAACAGCTTATGAGGCTTTAAAGTGATGCACTCTTCCTGCTTAACAGCTGCAGAGCAGGAACGATTCAGCAGTTTGTGCGATTTAATACCCATTGTCTGTTCAGCCCGAGGGTCACTCGACAACGAGCGGCCAAAGGTTCTGTGAGATTTTGTGGTACACACATCCTCCGCCTTCACTGTGCTAGAGCAAGTCCTTCTCAATAGCTTGTGAGTTTTGGAGATGCCATCCTGTTCTGACTTCAGTTTTGATTTATTTTTACCACAGCCAGGAGGAGGATAACTTGGCGACCTTAAAATAAAGAAGATGGCAAAGTTGGAGATTGATCAAAATTCTGTGCAAATCAAGCAACACCACACAGATGTAACCACTTTCAAGTGTCACCTATCTTGTTTTTCACTAGTGATAAACACGACCCAAACTTTTAAAAAATGAACAATTGTATGTAAGACATTTTCCAATACCGAAATAGACATCTTACTCCTATTTACACACAAGCTCATGAATTTAAAAAGACAACTTAAGTAGAAGTCAGAGATATGACCTTACAGCTGTTTGTAAAGTTTTCTACGTCTCTAAATAAACCAATTATTCAGGAAATCATCTTTGAAATGAAAACCATATATTGCACATGAGATCATAACACATTTTCCTTGGAAAAAAAAAATCTATCTTTTCTATGTAATCATCACGGCATGATCTCACTAAAGTTACTGTCTTCTGGACACAGCATAACAAATTCTAAATTCAGATCCAATGGAAGATACAATGAACAGTGAAACTTGCAGACAGTAAATCAAATTTAATTCAGCTGAAAAGGACATGATTTTTAAAAGCCTCATAATAACATGGGCACTTTGTGGAAGACAATTTGATGCGACTCTTTCTGCTTTTAGGTAAATTCCAGCTCTGTAACACTGGAAATGAGAATGTGAGGTACCTAAATTATAAGTGCAGAAAATAAATAACAAACAATTTTTCTGAAACAACATTCACATGTACTGTCACATTTCTGTGAGGTTCACATTTGTTTGTCCTTGCAAAGCAAGAACATGTAACAGGTATGCTGAATCATTTTCCTATGTTTTATAAGCAACCCCAACCTTTGGAGTATTTTTTCAGTTTGCATCAAGTAGAGAAGTGAAAACCCAAGGGGAGAGGCTGGCAGGTTTCCCCACCCTGTTAGCAAGTGGTGACAGTGGAAGATGCATGTGGAGGCTGCTGACTCACTGCAGCAGCAGAATCACTACCACCCTCCTGCAGAAGGGAGTTTGGAATGGCACCGTAGGGACAGAGAGGGTCCCTGCATTTGGCCTGAGCCATCTTTGGACAGGCACTGCATCAGCAGCAAAATCCAGAGGAAAAAGAATGGGTTGGTTTTGTATGCCATTACCGAACACAACCAAACCCCAGGCAATGGTGTATGGCATGGTAGGGAATGGATAAGCTTTCTACTTAAAACACCACCTTTCCTCCTTCATCTTTGAACAACCAACCTTCCATCATCTTTGATACTGCTCTCATTTTCAATGTGAACAATTGCTGTATTCTATCTCTTTCTTGTAGATTGAATTTAAAATTGCAAAATTGTTGAAAAATACAGAATATTCAAAGAAGCATTCAATTCAAATTCATTCACTGAATCAAAGGGGTGATTTGTCAACCTTCCATCAGCAGGAACACACACTAGAGTAAAGAGTCACAATCCTGAAAGAGGTGAAATTAGAGCCTGATTTTATATAAACTTAAGAGTATGAGTAACTGGCAGAAAGCATAGTGAATTGAAATTAATTATTCACAAACTACTTCTTGTGCTTTTAATTCCTTTGTTCTTTGAAATTCTTTGAAACAGTAAACATTAATGTAATTCAATAGAGGAGAGGGAAGAGTGCTCAGCATCTTTAAAAATCAGTCTTTCATTAAAAACCATCCTAGTTTAAAAAAATTAAAAATGCACACTCCTGTAGAAATAAGAGCTAGAAAACCAAAGTTTTTAAAAATACACATAATATATGCTATACATATATATTACTTGTATATATATAACTTATATTTTTATTCTTGCTATTCAAGTAACAGTCAAATACTACCACGCTAATAAAGATATAAACACAAGTTAAAATTATTCCCAGTTCTAGATGAAACCTGGTTGTTTCAGAGAGCAGGGTACTGAAATGCTCTGCCTTCAAATATTCTTAGAAGCTGCAGCAGTACCCAGTTCACTCTTGATGTCATGCAACACAAGGACTGGAAACCCATGAGGTAAGATATAAATAGAGCACTTCTCTGTGGAGAAAAGTCAAGATTTCACCTTGTGAAGTCTGCTGTAGCTTTTGAACAGTTTATGGTTGTAACAACTCATTTTTCTTGTTGTTACCTGCGCAATGTAGAAAAGATGTGCAGAGGGGATTTCACCTTTTTGTCAGACACCTTCTTATTGTGCGTACAATTAGATTTCTCCTTACTGTTCTTCCACTGTTGTGTAACAAATGTCTGCATGATCCTGGAAATTAAGAAAGAAAAAAAAAAAAACATTTTCTTATCCTAGCCAAATCATTTTAATACTATGGTCTCAGCGCTCACCAAGTAGGTGACATAATGCAGTGTTCTCAATCTACAGGCAAAGTTTTCTGTCATGTATGTGGAAGGATGACTAGGTGCCTCAGTTTCCTCAAAAATGCCTTTTTTCCTCACAGAACTATTTAAAATGGAAGTCCTAATGAAAATACAGTGTGACTACAACCACTGCAACTGCAAGACTTATGCAGACTATACTTCTCACAGAGATCCAGAGACTAACTAATTCAAGGGCATCACATCCAGCTATGGGGATCTGTCTCTCATGTGACTACAGGGATAGGCTATTGCATCTGCACAGCTAAGTAGGAGCTTGTTCTCTGAATCTAATCTAGCAGTGGGGGGTCTTTGAGTGATAAAGTCAAAGCTGAATTTAGTATGGACTTTACCAAAAAAGATGACTATTCCATTGCCACAGCCAAGAGGGACCATTGGGTTCATGGGTATTCTGACTCCTGCTCAATTGTGCATTAGGCAGCTATGGTCTTGAAAATGTCTTACATGAACCTTTAGTAATTACCTGGTGCACAAATCAGAGACAGTATAAATACTGAAATGTTCTAAGAGATTGTTCATATGAGGGGAGTGTTTCCTTTTTTTTTCCTTCAAAGTCATGTACTGTAGAGATTTTAATAACTTGCTTCACTTGTAAGATTATAAAAATGTTGCAGTGAATTTCTTTAAATACCAACAGCAGGTTTTTTTGCCTTAAGGGTTTCTTAATGTTGTCATGGTCAGATATTAAAGCCTATATACTTATCGTTTTATTACAAGTACACAAGCACATGTGAAAAGATGACTCAGCAAAACTGTATAAAAATTAATTGTACCATGACCAGTGAGTGCTATTCCTCTGTCTTGTACTCAAAATATGAATGGCCTAATTACTGCGCTATATCCTAGAGGCCACTATGAAAGCATGGCCCCCTTAGGGTATGCATGAAGCTCAAAAAGATGCCTGCTTCAGAAGCTTCACCATCTAAGTTGAAACATGAAACTGACTCCCAGTTGCACTCTTCAGAGCTTTGGTAGCTTACTCCCTAAAAGGCAGCAAAGGGACAGAAAACCCTGGCAAGTAGCACAGATAAGGTTCTCCTCAACAGCTGTCAAAACACCTTGATCCAACAACCAACCTGACAGCATATGAATTTTATGCTACTTGACATGGTCCAAAAACTAGAAAGAATATAATATCCACCCAAAACCAGGGATTTACACTTTTCAAGACTTACTTTTTCAGCTGATGCCCCAGCCCAAATCTTTCCTTAGTAGAGATCTGAAATACATCCACAGTTGGCACTAGGGAAAAAAAAATACTGTTGTTACATAAACTCACAACAGTAATGAAGAACTCATGATGACCATGTAAGTGGCACTTAGGGACTCTGTTCTACCTGGACCTTGACTATAGACAATGAAATTGAAGCAAATCAAAAGTGGATATGTCATCTAAACATATTAAAAAATTAATGGTACTTTCTGGAATATCGACCTATACAATTTACAATTTTACAAATGGAATTCTCCAAAATGTATCTCTTCCCACTAACTTGATTTACAAAAATGTGTGTGTGTGTGTGTGTGTGTGTATATATATATATATATAACTGCAAGCAGCAAGCAGCATCAGATTAAATGTATCTGGACTGGCAATTCATCTCACCTAAACTCTGAAACATTTTAATGTTTTTGCATGTTTTTTTAATGTTGTCTACACACAGTAGAGTTTCTATGGCTACAATGAAAGCCCAGTCTGGAACTGAATTATTTAGTATCTGGGATTTCTTTCAGAGGGTGTTTTAATCCACAATCCAAAACCATAATCTAAGTGCTTGGTATGTGAATTCCAGTGGCCACGGACCATCTTGACATTTCCTCGAGGCCCATCCAAGCATTGGTGTATCCACATTCATCTGTCCAAAATTGAAAATGTACAGGGTGAAGGATGGAAATTAGCTAGTGGCATTACTAAAATCCATTAACAACATTGAAAGAAGTGGCAGATGTAATTCAATACTTGTTGAGAGAGCCTCAGGTCCTCAAGGCAGAACAACACCCAATGCATATTACAAGCACGAGTAGACTTTATAATTTGTGTAAGGTGGTAATGACTGCAGTAGAATAAAAAAGGAATGAAAACAAAAAAACTGAGGTCTGTCCAAATTTTATTAGAAACAGTAAATCAGTATTTTGATGTTATTCTGACCACTCACAAAACCAGATTTTATTCAGAATGTCAAAGTTTATACTTTATTTTGCTTTAATAAATCAAATTTTAAAATCAAGTACAATATATCTAAACTAGCCATGCAATTTCATGTAGTTCAAAGCACTGTATTTGCCCCTTCTCTAATATTATTATTCAAATAACATAAAACATAAACTCATCTTTTAAATACAAACTGATTTTTTCAAAATTATTTCATTAGCAGTAGCAATATCTCTCGATTGTCAAATTTCAGACACACTGTGCTGGGATTAGGAATACTTTCAAAAAGAATCACCATACCTACACCAGCAATCTTAAAATTTGACATCTAGACCAATATTTTTGTCTAGGCTCTATAGTCAGAGGAGAGATCCCAATAGCTCCAACAGCTGATTCATCCTCCCTAAAAGAGGTTTCTAAGGCACATGGGAGAAAATGCCCACACAGACAATACTGAGACAAGCTATTAACTAGATGAATGACTATCTAAAATCAGGATATTACTCAGCATCAAGATAGTACTAATATCCCCTGCTGTTCTTTGGAGTGTGCTGTAATTCTGTTTATCAGTCAACAGAATGTACTATAGGAGAAAAAACCACAGCATAAAATTCCGGCCCAGTAGTCTCAAAAAACCCCGTGTTTAAGGCAGAAGAGGAATTCACAGAATTAACACAAAAGATGGTGGATCTCACTGTGCTCTACTAGTAAGTAAAGAGACAGGGCTGCAACAGTAGCTGAGTTCATAAAACCAGTGTCAGCAAAGCACTTGCCTCTGGCCCTGACCTTACCTTTCTCTGTACTCAGGCACTTCCACAATCACTCAGTTGCAGCACTGAGAACTAAGCTTTCCATCTTAACCTTGTCAACAGTGCAGAAGATATTTTGTTGTTACTTCTCATTTCACTAGATCATTTCTTACTGCACACTGCTCTTCACGCTTCACCTTCTCTTATTTGCTGCGCTTTTTTATTTTTTAAATTACATTTTGATAGAAACGTTCTGAATACTAACACTGCTTCCTGCTATGACAAATACATATTTTAAGTTCTCAATACTTACAAAAATCATTGAAGTAATAACTACAGACAAAAAAAACAAAGTCAAGGGGACAAAAAAAGATATAATGAAATGCTTATTTGAATGAACAGAATATAGCTTATAGTTAGACGCATCAGGCAACATATCCTATAAAAATAGCTCATTGAGACAGATTTTGCTAAACATGACTGGAAATATCTATTAATTTTCCAGAGGCAGAATTCTCCCACAGATAAAAGCCTGAACTGACAGATTGTACTGTAAGTCTCCAAATCTGGGCAAGTTATCATCCAAATTTAGTCTGACTTCTCGCTGTAAAAATGTATCTGAAGTAGACTCTTGCATATGAATGTTTCCCTATCTTCAAAATCAGTTGATTCTTCATGAGCTTGACCATTTGTCTCTCATGAGGAAACTTTATTCACTTAACTCATTCAAATCTGAAGATTTTCAGAGTTCACATGCTCCTATAGAAATGAGAAGTTGCAAGGATAATTATTGTGGCTGATTCTCCAAAGGTGCATGAAAAAGGGCACGTTAATGTGCTGCAAAGGTCGGTGTACATCTTCATTATCACTCTGATCTCACCTGTGCAGATCATACTTGATTTCCAAAATCAGGAAATCACGTATTAGAAACTGCAAATCTTTATTCCTTAACCCTACGCAAAGCAGTTGCCTCTCAAAGGACATCAGTAAAACAAGTTCCAAAACTCCACTTGTGAAAGTTTAAATTAGATGCACATGTCATTACAGAGTGCCTAGCCATGCAAACATAAGTCAGCTTAAATTCAAATCAATAGGACTCCTATCAGCCGTAGAAGTAGGCACATGAAGGGTCAAAGATTTGGCCAGAGCAGAAAAGCATACACGGCACAAAATGAAAACACAATTGACCAACCTGGACCATTTAAGTACTGTGTAAGTGAGCAGTGCAACCGCACTATTATAGGCTCTGTGCGAATCACATCCCAAGCCACAGCAATCTCTTCCTAGTTCAAGATAAAAAGAAAAAAACAGACATAATTAGCCATCTTGAGGAACTGCTGCATTTTTTCAGTCTACCTCAGGGTAGCTATAAACATCATTCATACATCTACCCAGTTGTGTAATATCTACTCCAACATTACACTTTAGACTTAGGACAAATTACTGCCTGTTAACGCCCCCAAGAGCGGTGTCAGTCTAATTCCAGTTCTTGAGCAAACTCATTTAAACCAAGCACAGGTTTATACATAACATTGCATGTACAGTGCAGGCAGACACATTAAGCTGATAAACAAAAGAGCAAACAAAGACAGAATAGAAACTAACACCGTAACAGAGGGTAAAGGAAACTATTGTTCCTTAAGACTGATTTAAATAATTCAACAATTTCCTTAAATTCTTAACTTTTAAGGAAAAAAATTTCTTAAATAAGTCCAAGAGTAACTGTCTTATGTGCTGTACTAACCTAAAAAAATTGGCATAACTGTGCGGAAGCCAATGATGACCTTAAAAGTTCTAATTTTTATTCTTTGTTTAGAGCCCACAAAGCTACTGCACAGATGCAGTGAGGAAGTGTGAAGTTATTGACAGCAAACTGCTACTGAAGCCATGCTGCCAGTCGACAGCACCGCTGTCTCTCCCTAATCATTGTAAAGAAGCACTCCAGCCAAGGCCCTCTTCCCTTCAGGGCTGTAAGAAATGCTTAAATGCTTTCACATGACTAATGTCTATGATAACATGAAAAAAAAAAAGTATTTCATTTATATTTGTTAAAACATTTACCATTCACAAAGCACATTTGAAAGGAAATACTCATGCAGCAAATAAAAACCTAGAAAGCATTTTAACAATGCGATCATAAAAGGAAAATAAAATCTTTCCACCGAATATCAATCAATAATGTGACAGCCAATTGTGAAGATCAAGTCTCCACAAAAGGAAAGTCTCAGTCGTTGTCTAGAGAGTCTAATGTGTAGCAAAATTAAATGAGTATTAATGTTCATTATGTAATTCTGTGATTAGATCACTTACATCAAGAAAGCTAACATCAATATGTAGATCAATATCTACATCATCAATGGCTCCGTATTCCCTGAAAGGAAAGAATTACATTACATTAGAGCTCCTTAAAATACTCCTCAACCCAGGAATACTTACAACAGGGAAGATTTTATAAGGGATAATCTCATCTGTAAAATCAGAATGGTTATAAAATACACATTTACATAGATTGGATTAATATTCCCAATTGGTGGGTGACTGCCATGCTGTAAGTTTTTTTCAGAGAATCTTGCTTAAACAGAATAAATCTTTCCTTCCACTTCCCCCAAAATCTCTCCATGGCTGCTATGTATTTTTGTCTCATGTATTCCACAAATAAACAAAGAAATTTAATAGTCACATGCTGCACCTATAATTTTCAGAAGTATTTCAGGTCAACAGCCAGTAACCTAAGAAGAGGTTTGAGATAAATCATCGTAGACAAATAAAGCATAGCCTAGAGAACATATTATACTGGGGGGATTGCTTCATACATTCAAGCATTTGCTTGTCAAAAATAAAGACTGCCCTGTAATGTACTCAAGGTAATAGTTGCCTTTTTTATCTCTTATGTGTAGTATTGCTGGAATTCCCAAGGTTCAGATTTAACTTATATTCACTGGTATTTCATTGCCATTTGAAATCTTACATTTAAACTGTGACTTTTCTGCCTCTTATTTTCTAACTCACTTGGATTGCAATCCCCTACATACTTGAAGACTTCTGAAAAATAGGTCTAGAAAATACTCATTCATGCACCTGAATAAAAAAACTGCTTTCCTTTTCATTGAAATTACTCAAGTGGTCAATACTGTAAAAATGTAATCACTCTCAATTTTTTACAGATTAGCTTCTAGTCGCTATTTTTTTTCCTTTACACTGCGTTCATACGCTTTTCTCACAGTGACTTCCACACTTTTGTATTAAACTAGACTTAAGTACATAGTAGCAGTTGAGCATGAGTAAGCCCATATGGCAATTTTGAAACACTAACATTTTGTCTGAATATAACAGTCTCCTACCCAACTGGCTTCTCAGCCATGGTAGGATTGAGTTTGCACTAGAAGTTGTTTGACGCCTTGTGAAGTTTGGCGAAGAGAGCCCCGTTCACCAAACCTTGGCAACCCAATGGCTCTCTCTGGTCGGGGCACACCCAAGTTCTCTCTCTAGACCTGATGTGTCCACACATGGCACACACAGGGCAGGTGAATGGCTGGACAGGGTTGTATTACAGAAGACTTCCCAGCCACCCTTACAGCTACTCCAATGTCACCTCACCCAGAACTGTACAGGCACTTGCTGACCTCCTACAACTCACTGGAAACCTGTCTTTGAAACAGTGAGTAAGCTCTCCACTCACTGAATGGCTTAGTCAGGACCCTACACAACAGTGCCATGAGGGTTTTTTGTTCATTTTCCAGAAGATCCAGAGACTGTTATGCACTCTTAAGTAATATTTACGTATGTGGGCTGGTGTTACCTACATGACTAAGATTCAAAAGGCTGTTAACAAGCATAATTTTATAAATTAAACAGAAGCATAGTTGAACTAACATAACAGAAGTATTAGTGGAAGAAATAACAAGACAAAAATTAGTTCTGATTGTGAAACTTCCATATTCACCGAAATCCCTTTGCACCCAATACACTACCATCTTAGAAGACGGATTTTAGACACATGATGCTGACTCTAGTTTAAATTTCCCATGCTGAAAGTGAGGAAGAAATTATGTTTTATTCCAACATCTGCAGCTTATGATCTGCTGCCTAAAATGGCTTCGTGAACACAACCTGATTTTGAAGCTCCCAGAGGTCCTCTGTCCATCAATGCATAAAAAATATGAAGAGATACAGTTGGATGGATCAATCACCTTCTCATGGCTTTTGTGGTCAGATTTCTAAGAGCTGTGGTGAAAAGCATTCTGGTATAGGTACCTAACTTTTACTCTGTTACAGCAAGAGACTATGCAAAAGAGGCTCAACTGTCTAGGAAATATGCATCTTGGTAGACATCCCTGTCATGCAAACTTCTCTCTCCTCAGAGAAGTGGAGCTGCAACAGTGATGAAACTGAATGCCTAATGTTGTGAGGTTTATTTCCAAGAATTTATAAGTATTTTTAACTGCAATAGAGTGGATGAAGCATTCACATTTTACACATGCCAAAAGCAGTCACAGAAGCCAATTTCTACTACAATGAGCTCAAGCAGATCACAATGCTTCCAGTGAAACAGTTGATGCAATAAATTATATGTATTAAAGTTTCTGAAAGGTTACACATAATATTTCAATTTTAGGAGCGTGAGGAAACTTATTAGCAAGGTATTCTCTGTTTCACAGTTATCAGGTTGGCAACTGATAACTTATCTCATTCACTTCCTAAACCCACACACAACTATTCAACTCCCCAGGTCCTCGAAATGTAGTACATTTCCACTTAATCTGTACAGGTGTAGTACACCACAGTTGTAGGCATGCTCTCTCTTATGACAAAGTAACACAGCTTACTGTTTAGAAATTAAGGGAAATAATTACTTGTAGTATACGTATACCTAATATAATTATCTTATCTCCATTTTATTACTTCGTTTGTATGGCAACTTTGATATTTTTCTTGCAATACATATGACACGTCTGTCACATCTTGCCTACCTGTTATTTTTATGAAATTATTGAGATTACACAGATGGAAGATAAAGTTATAAAATACCTGAAGCGTATTTGAAATATCACATAGATATGCCCTATGGCAGAATCATGCATGCTTATCTACCTCCAGTAGAATTTTTGTGTAATTACTCTTAGCAATCCACATCTGACTAAGGTTCCACTACTTTCCTGTGTAGGATACTTTAGATTCCCATAATTAGAAAGCTTCCCCAACCTCTAATCATACCCTAGTTTTTTACTGTCTCTCTCATGATGGCAATACAGAATATTTGATCATTCCTTCTACCTACAAACAGCTTTTATGAAGAAGAAAAACTGTTACTGTGGTTTTTTCTTCTCTTTTTTCTAGATTAGACAAATCCAACTCTTTCAGTCTTTCCCTAAGGAAAATATTTATTAAATCTCTTATCATTCCTCTTGTTCAGCTCCAGGGTAATATACAGAATATGACAGAAAAGGAGTTTAACAAGGGTTTAGAGAAACGTAGAATAGTAATTTTCAACAAAATGCAAAAGCCTGATCAAATACCACCAGAACTGCAAAAGACAATGATGTTTCAGAACAGAATTCCAGGGCTTGTTCTCAGCACAGCCACTTGTACCCATACTGAACAACAACAACAAAAAACAAACTTTAAAAAAAAAAAAAAAAAAGAAAACCCAGCATTATTGCTTGTTTGCAGCGCTCCTTTCTTTTGCAACACAACATGCTTTCTGCATTTCTTCACCAGAAGAGACTAGTGCTTCAGTAGTCAGGGAAGGCCCACATGGAACTCAATATTCAAAACATTAAAGGCTCCACAACACAGTAAGGTCAATGACGTACCTGAGAGATACTGCATTAGGTCCATAGATCTCTCTCACAGCTGTCAAATCAGCCTCCAGCTGTGGGTGCTTGTGAAGTTCTCCATCATAACTAACCTATTGGGAAAAGAAAAATATCTTGGGAGTTCTTATTTCATTACTGGCACCTATCTAGGCTCTTGAAAGTTCCCCATGCAAAATATACTGCATTAAGATTCCTTGATGCCACACTCAGGAAGGACAGAGTGTTGATTAGCTGAAGCACTGAGGCTATCTATTCTGCTAAGTAATGAGATTTTAAAGCAGGTACCTCTGCCTTGAAACGTTTTGAGGGTTCTGCTATTTGTGGAGTCTCATCCATCTGTCCTGTTCTGTCTCACAGTTTGTTCTGGGACACCTCTGTATTTCAAAAATGCTAAGTAGGATAAGAAACAAATATCCCCAATCTTACCGTCCCAGTCCAATCACTACAGGACAAAGGTTTGCATACTCTTTCTTGCTGTCACACTCTCACATACACTAGATACAGAATGCCTTGGGCACAATAAGAGAAGTATGAAACTTTTCTCTACACCAAGCGTCTCAGCATCTAAATTACATTTTCAGACTACCCACTGGATGTAATCTATTCACCAGTGCAATAACACCAGGTGAGAAAAAAATAATTAAAGAACCTTTTCTAATTTTAAGTATTTTACCAGAGAAGGTGTAAAGAAACACCTATTTAGACACCAACACCAACACCCCTTTTCTTTTTTTTCAAACTCTACCATGAAAAATGGAAAAAGTTATGTTTGTGCTTACACTATAAAGCAAAACTTGTGAGCTGGCTTGGTTGGAATGTATGAAGTAAAAATAATTAATATCCTCCTCTCTTCTAGAAGATCAAAAATACTTCATTAGGCATGTAACAATCTATTAAAAATCTGTCTACTATTACCTTTTTCTCAAGAAATACAATCCTGACTGTGTGAACCTAAATCTACTTCTTTACAACTATTAGAATGACAGTAATTCCATAGAAGTCTATGAACTCCCTAGATTTGGACAAATTCAGAAACGAGTGTAGGATTTGCTCTGTACCTTTAACAAATTCAGAGAGCAAAGCACTGGAGTTTAATTTATCCCTTTAGACATACACATATCTATATCCTTATAGAGGAATTCCTGCAGAGAATTCTTGTTATTGCAAAGCTGCATCCATTTGCAGTACTGCTTCTTCCATTTGTACTTCCCAATCTGTAGAAAACCAGTGCTTTGACACTTTCAGCTCTAATATTTAAAGATGTGCTTTTCAATCTAATTAAATTTCAATAATATTAAAATAATAATCAGATGATCACTTTTTTACATGTGAAAATGAGCAAATAATAATTTGATTAGACTTTTTCAAATATAAGGCACAGAAATCATCAGCATACCATAGGCATGTACTTATCAGAAGTATCAATGACATTCATACCAGAAGGTTTACAAAATATCCTTCCTTAGCTTGGATAGGCATGTTAGAAGAATTTTCCTAGTAGAAGAGCAGGGGAAGAAAACCTTGTAATTTTTTTTCACTGTAGGTGGGGGGGAAACCAATCCTTTTTACATGCTCATTACTCAAAGAAAAATTCTTTAAAGATGTGTAAATAATTGCTGTCCTGCTTCCAAAGAGAGCATAGCAATCATTTCATAAATCATAGCTGGGGTGCACTTGCCACCTTTGTTGGTCCTAAACAAGATTTTTAAATCAGTCTTATGTATCAATAACAATAAAATCCAAAAGGAACACTATGCAGAAAACTGAACTCCTCAACATAATGCTTTTTGTTATTTACTTTCTGATGCTAAGAGGCTATAAACTCAAAAAGGAAACAAAGTAGTGTTCTGACAAATTTTAAGACGACAGTATGGTACTTTCCACTCCTGAATTAGTGCCACAGACGTGCTGATGTACGCAAAGGAAACTGTCAGAGTTTTGCATTTCTGCATTTTCAAGTATGTCCTGTAACTGAGAGAGCCAAAGGCAGTAGTATTACTGTTTTCATCTCTGGTTCTCGTTTGCAAATGTAGCATACAGAGATTCAAAGCAAGAATTAACAAAGAGTTGCCGAGAAAGTGAATATAAAGGCTAAAAAATCTGGTAAGTTCACTGTGACTGAAAGATCTGTGTTTAGAAAGGTTTTAATATCTCAGTTTTTAATATAAAACCTTATTCAGATTATTTTGTCCCACATAATGACAAAAGGTTGCTTTTTAAAAGGAGATTAAGTGATTTACAAACCTAAATCCCTTTGAAAATCAATAGGTCTTAGGCTATTGAACTACTTATCTACTTTAAAGTATTTATCCATTAAATCCTTAGGGAGGATTACAAGCAGGTGCCTAGGAAGTGAATACAAACATTTAATTTACACGCAAAAGGTTGCTCTTTGTTTTCACTGCCCATCAAATGCCATTTCCCATCTTCCGTGGTCCTTGTTTCATCATCAGTGGCTCTCATGTCTTTCCAGCTGTAACCACTCAGAAATGCTAAGAATTATCCATGATCTCCATCTTTACCAGCTGTATTGCGCACAATTACACTGGCATCTCTTCCCTCTAGTTGCTAAAGTCACTATTTTTGTCCCCTTTTTCTGTGGACACAGCACACACTTGTCTCAAATGAAGGAGTTTGCCTTGCTTGTTCACCACGTATACAGTCAACTCTTTTGTCTTTCCACTACACCTGGTGCTCACTTAACATCTTACAAACACTGTTTGAAAAAGGATCGTTCCTTTTATCTTTCAAGGGACTTTGTTCATTACCTTATTTGCTATTTATTTTCTGAGTCTTCAGTATTTTCTTCAATACTACAGGTCTTCTTTAGAATTTTGTCTTTTTGATCATGAAATTTTAAATTCAAATTTCCTCCTTTTTTTTTTTTTTTTTTTCACTTTCTGTGATGCTTCCCCCCACTCTTTATTCTCCATATTTGTGTTTTGGATATTCTATACTCAAGACATTTACAATCATCTGATACTTTACTTTTATTGCAAACCTATGTGTTTTTTCGCCAGTTACAATTCCTTCAGTTAAATGCAATATAATGCGGCTTCGACTGGATTCTAACTAGTTTTGCTTATTACACAACTCTTTTACACCTTGCAAAATGATGTACTGCTTGCTCTCTGCGTTCATGTCTCATAGGCAGTGTTAATATTTATTCATTCGTTTGGGCACTGGCAGGCATCCTTTACCAGATGTATTAGATGTGGTTCAAGAAACAAGCACTCACAGCTGTTTTCTGCCTTTTCCTTCACCTTGAGGTTACTGCCCTTTCTTCAGGGTTGAAAAATGAAGCCAGCACACACAACTCATCACTACAGGGCAAGATCAGGCAGATTAAGATAAGACATTGCTCTTTGCACTGAATTATGTGTATGGTCCTCCCCAGCATTCGCCAGCATGGGGCTGTAGAAGTCAGCAGCTGAAGGGAGGCAATTCCTGCAGTCATTTCTAAAGTGAACATGAGCCAATATTCCCTGTTAGTTATTTCTGACACTGAAAATACATTTTTTCAGTTCCACTTTCAATATAGCTTTTTACAGCTTTTCAGGGGCATGCCTTTTTTTTTTTTTTTTTTTTTTAACTGTAAAGCACCTCGACATGTATTTTGTGTTCCAACCCCACCGCACTGTTGGCTCTGCAAGAGAAGAGGCTCAGGGATGTCTTGCTCATCAGCTCTCTGCACCGACCCACCCTGCTGGCACTGTTGGCGTGCTTCTTTAGCCTTGGCTCTGCATCCAGGGCACGGACGGCTTCAGCCTCAAGGCTGAGGCAGTGACAACTTTCATAAACAGCGACCGTAATTTGTTAAAATGTTCACTGAAATAAACAGTTCTAACAGCGTAAAGCAAGGAATGATTCCTTGGGGAAACATTTAGGCTAAAAAATAAGAAATCTGCATAAAGAGACTAGCAGTGTGAAGCACATTGCAAAAGGAAAAGGTATGAAAAGATTTTATTTCCCAATACATAAGAGAATGTAATAACTAATTTTGCTGAGGGAAGAAGAAGGAAAGACATAGAGTAGTACTTTCATCTAAACTATGCTGCATTTTTCAAGGTGAATATCACTGTAGAGCTTAGAAAAAGAACTGCCTAGACCAAAACTGTTTTGTAATAACCATTTTTACCATTAAAATGCAGTGCTCTTGACTTTAAAAAAATGGCAGTTCTCCAGAAGGAAACAGATTTGGATCCAGCCAGCCTTCGCAGCCTGATTTGTATCAATAATGGGATAAGCTATTTCCTGGAAGTAAGCAACTAGTTTCTATTTTCAAGCTTCTTGGAGAATATTTGCTTTTTTCATTCTAACAGATTTGCAGATGTAAACAGTATAATCTTATTTTGAATCTGAGATAAAGTTTAACAATATTTCTGCTACAAAATACTACGTACTCATGGCACTCTATCCATAACACAATGATATATCATAAACAAAAAGAACTCTCATATACTACTTTTTCTGAAAATTGTGCAAATTATTCTGCATTACCTGTCCTCCATAATAAAATTCCTCAGAATCATTATCTCCTTCAGAGTCTTCTTCAACTGTGCTGTTGTGCCGTGACTCCTTAATGAAAAAGGAAATTTAACAATTATAAAAGTAATACGCTGATCTTGCATTTATAGCTTTATATACAACTACAAGAATTATTTTTTTTTTACAAATAAGCTCATAGCATCCTTTCTAAGTGATCTCTAACTATAATTTTTCCAGAGGGCTGGTTTTAAGAATAGTGAAGTATCAGACAAAACAAGCACCTAATACAGGGTATATAAAAATATCTGAATATATGTTGGGCCTGGCTACAGACACAATGTGGTATTTTAAAGAACTGGATAATTCAGCAGACTATGCAGGGATATTTCACTCTGTGTTTTTGCTAAACAAAGCATGACTTACACACCAAGACTGGTTCTGGATTTAGTTCTTTTGCTGTTTCAGCAACCTAGCAATTTTATTTTACTTTAGTCTTGTAAAAAAGCTCTAATACTTTAAGGAAATAATCCAAGTCCAAACAGAGACTATCTAACATTTCCTTCTGTGAAAAACTGACACACTGCTGCCTAATTACTCTTTTTATCAGAAAGTCCATGCTGATGCCAGAAAAGGTCAAACTTAGTTTTCTGACTAGCTATGCTCTGAGACAGTGAAAAGTAAGGATTAGAAAGTCATATGCTTACCTAAGTAAAACCTGCTCTAAATAAGTTGCTCTGTGAATAATTGCATCAAGTAAATAGCACTGATCATGGTACAGACTGTAACTCCACATTCTGTTTCCCAAGAATGGAACCTTTTCTTATAATTATGCAATTGCTTGAGATATTAATTCTAGTTTCCCACAATGCATATGTTATTTCTATGATCTGTGCTGACTAGGAACCCCTAAAGAACACCTGTTAAAACTGCAATTCTTCACTTCAACCTGAACTTGATGTACCAACTGCTTCGCTTTTATTTATGTTCTGCACAGAACTGCTGTAATGGAACAGAAATCAGATGTTTGAATCAAATAACAGACACTAACCCTAAATTCCATAATCATGACTGCAAAAATATACTCCTATCAACAAATTCTATGGTCAGATATTGTAATCCCATTTCCCTATCTCTGCCTCTAAATTTGTGCTCTATTCACTGTATGTATATAGACAGTGTAAAAACTGTATTTTGCCCAATCTCATGGCAATTTTGTATGACAAGGCACAAAAATAATTTATGCTTCTACTTCACTGAAAAGAAATAAAGTTGCTTTATTCTTCTTTGTTTTATAATAACCTTAGCTCAAAGGGAAATCTGTTTTAGAACAGGACTCAACTGAACAAAAATTCCACACAAAAAATGAAACTGTCACATTGGAATAGTGAAAAAACAATCATATCCTAACTAAACCTTCAACTGAGTAGCCAACAGAAATGGTCAGTATTAGAGACTTTTTAAAAAGGGTTTTTATTTTCAGTACTTTCACATTTAAATACCTTGTTCAACTTAAAAAAAAATAAAAGCTCAAATCCTGTCCCACAGATGCTAACTATATTTCAGGCTTTTAATCAAATGGGCAAATTCTTTCCACACTTGAATTTCTTCCATGTTTACAGAGCACTGAATACAATGATGAGCCAGTAGAAGCGAAGTATTTTTAGTGCAGTTTTTTATGTCAAATCAGGTTTCATTTACTAAAAAAAAACTGATACATACAGCATCTAGACATGCTTATCCTCCCTTTCCAGGGACAAATACAGATAGTAACCTTAAATACGGTCATCAAGAAACAGCATCCAACTTTACCAAAAGAAATCCTAAGTCAAGCACCTGAGCTCCTGACAATGCTCGAGGTAGGAGCCTATATGGTACTTTCTCTGAACCCATAACACTGTCAAGCCTCGCAGACATTAATGCCACTGCTTTCTTCATGTCTCAATGAAACTGGTCAGGGAGTGATCAGCACCAGATGCAGCATAAATACAACCATGACTGGAAGACCTTAATACTCAAGACTCTACTTATGGTGAGTGGAGTCAGTCAGAGGTCTAGAGTGTCCAGCGGGACTGCCACAGGCTGCATGAAGAAGCAGTGAGCTGAATAATTGGGATGTGGTCTTATGTGCAAGAGCAGGCTAAAAGGTAACAGAATCACCATCTACTTCTCCAGGAGAGCTGTATTTTTAGGGTAGATAGGGTCTACACCACTGTCAAACAAAAAATGAGATAAACATCAAAACCACATTTCCTAGGACAAGAGGAGAGTTGAAATCACAAGTGAATCTCTGGTTCATCCACATATGAAACCTAGTGAAACATGCTCAGGTTTTAAAATGTGTAAACATGTACAGATCACATAGCAAACTTTGATAGAAAGTCTATCGCAACCACTCATATTTTATTATTTACTGTTGTTTCTTAAAATAATTTCTGTTAAAATAAGCATACAAGAAATACATACCTCTCCATTCTCCCTCTGTAACTTTGATTTTATGGATAAGTAATAGTTGACATCACTGTTTTTTCTTATTAATTCTTTAAAAAAAAGAAAATGGGGAACATGTGAAAAAAAGTGAAATAATTTTGCATAAGTAGACTTGGAATTCTTAGTTGCAGTAGTAGAGCAAATAAGGAACAAAATTACCAATATGAAATGCATCAAAGAGTTTATAATGCAATACTCTGAAACTAGGAAGCCCCTACCACCCAGAAGACTCATGTTTTTAACTGTGAATTGAAACTAAGTTGATCCATCCAGGAGATCTGGTTTTGCCAATTTGTGATTTACAATTTAGCATCATTCATTAATTTTGTATAATTTATAAAAGAATGAAAAATCAAAACCCCTCATGAAAATTAAATCAATTCATCTTCTATATAAAACACAGGGTTTCACTCTATTTTAAATGATAGGTTTCATTTCTTTTCAAATTAAAGAAGCATTTGCAAGTAAAATTAATTTCAAACTTCTGACTAGAATAGCAAGATTCTGTTTGTGTGCCACTGCACCCACTTCAGTAAAATTACTCCTGATTTACATCTGTACAAATGAGATCAAAGACTGAAGAACATATTGGTCTTCCAGTGGAATTCAAAGTAATTCTGTGTTATGCAAAAAAAGCCCATAATAATAATAATAATAACAACAACAACAACAATAAAGTCAAGTGTTCCTATCTGAAGAATTGCCTATCTGAAGACCGTCTGTGCAGTTTCTCCAGTAACCTGAAACAATCTGAGAATTATATAATAAAATATAAAATGCCTCTGTGGAATATGCACAAACCTTTATTGTACACTTATAAATGCCTGTACCTTTGACAAGCATACCTTTTCATGTATCAAATCATTTTTGAAACTAAGAAAATAATTTAAAATGTAAGTTTTCCAAAGTCATTTGGAAAAAATATAACATTTTTCTATAGTCTAATTTAGTTGAAACAGCTGAATCATTTTGTTTGAAATTTCTGGAAATAATTCACCAGAGGCAGTGGTAGTCACAGACTATTTCGTCTACAGTGGTGAAGATTTAGTGAAGTTGTAAGTAAGCAAACATGAAAACTTTTAATTGGGAAGTATTAAGCACCTCTAACTATCAAAGGGGAATTTCTCTAGCACAGTCTGCAAGGCATTAAAAGAATAAAATACATTCTGCCTACACAAATGTGGTGATCCCTAAAGTAGGTATTTTAATTTCTTCTGTTCCGAAAGTAGGACAATTTACTATGTTAAGACTGTGAGAAAATAGCAAACTGTACAGCTGTACACATTAACACATCTCCCTTTAAGTGTGGACTTGTCTTTCCTCACAAAGTATGAACTTGATAAAACTATCCAAACATAAGATTACCTGTAGCAATTTGGTGGAAAATTACTGGAATTGGCTCTGTTGTGACTAGCACATCTTCATCGTTATCAGAACTGGAAACGTAAGTGTTATCTACAAAAGAAAAATACTTTGCATGGTAAATTCCCATTGTACTCTGCCAGACCCTTCCCATGTTTCTTGTCCCACCCTTGTACCACAAGGAACCACTTCCAAGATGGTTAAGGGAGCTAAGCACTATCTTCCTGGTGTGTTTGGCTTTTGTCTCTTAAGACTGTTAACAAAAAGAAAGGATGGAAGATTTAGACCCAACCTTTACAAAGCAAACCCCTGGAGTTCAATGTCATGGCTTTTATGACCCACACCTAGTGCCACTCTGAACCAAACCACAAAGCTTACTGTGGCCAACCTTTTTCAAAATTAATACTTGTTCTCTGTTTTTTTTGCTATGCCTGATACTAAAACTCAAGTTAAATCTGCCATGCAGAGTGAAGGCTGCACTGAGAGCTGACTGTTAACAGCCAATCATACAAAATACTCGTGCCTCATTTTGTCTAGTCACATAAAGGTTGTTTGAAGTGTCTTCTAATCAGTGCATAACCTTCCTTGTGCCTGATTCAGGAAAAAAATAAAGTTCTCCCACTTAACAAAAACACTAGGTATGGACATGAATACGATGTCTATTTTAAATTTTCTTTAAAAATATAGGGATTAGGCTGAGGGTTGTGTTCTGTTCATTTTTTTTTGTTTGGGTTCTTTTTTGCTTTCCAACCAAACATTTACTAACAACAAACAAAAAGCATCAAGATTTGGTGTACTATCTGCACAAGCTAATTTTGTATGTATTGCTGAACTGCCTATGAAAGTAATGGTATTTTGTTTTCTAATGATCAGGGCTGAATTGAAACTTATGCTCTAGAGCAGAAAGACTGACAATTAAGATAACACAGATAAAGAGACAAATAACAGAACTGAAAGAAGGACTTATCTATTAAAATTCTGAACAATCCAGTTCCACATCAGCAAAGTTCATGAACTCTCAAGTAATTCCAAACATACTGCTGCAACCTCAAAGCCTTTGTCTAAGGTGCTTCCAGTAAAATGTTATAGACATTAAAATTAATTGAGAGGAAAATTCAGTAATATCATCCTTTATATCACAACAGTTCTTAGCCACTTTTATCAAGAGGGAGCTTGGGCTGCATGTGAGTGATCTGTGGTTGGCTCAACACACACAGACTGTGTGCAGGCAATGCTGCAGGAGGCCAACACCAATTCCTAAGCACTCCAGTGGGTACAGCAACCTGCTCCATCAGCTCAGTCTGTGTCTGCTCAGCTGCACGTTGGGCACAGAGACATGTTTTAGAGCCACAGCATCATGCAAATTAAGTGGGGTCCCTTCTGCCAGCATTCACTCCTTCTCCCAGTTTTGTTTGCTGCCAGGAGAGGCATTGAACTATGCCTTCAGGACAGCTGCATCTTACACTCTCCCAAAAGCCCTGCCTTGCCTCTATTTGCATACTCCATTTTGTTGTCATCATTTCAGTGTCAGCCTCACCATGCTGGATAGTTTTTGGGCATCAACAAAGAGGCCCATCCCTTTCTGGGCTGGAGAGTGCAAGTTATTGCTGAAGAGTCTAATGAGCTGGGATAAGTGAGGACACCATTTGGCTCTAAATATACCTAACACCATATATAAGGATGGGATAACGGAAATCCTTGTGCTAGAGCTTATTGCTGTACAAAAAAACTTGGAAAGGCAGTATGTTCTGTAAGGAATACACATACATATATGGAAAAAAGGACTGCTCAGTAACAGGTTTTGAATACACATACATATATGGAAAAAAGGACTGCTCAGTAACAGGTTTTATAGATTGTAATTATGTTTTTATGTCCATTGTCATTCTTTCTTGGCAGCTGGAAAACAATTTTCACTGCCAAGTTGAGTTTTTTTCCTTTTCTATCTGGCAGTTCTTAGTTGTTGGTTTTTTTTTATCTTCCATCAGTCTTATGAAACTTGAAATTAAGACATTGCCTTTGGTTTGTTTTCTTGAACATCCAGTTTCTGACACACTGCACCCAGGAACACCTCTTCTCTTAAGAGGAGGATCTAGTACCTTGACTTAGCGGAGGGATGCAGCAAACTACTTGCTGCCAAACTGGTTCTCTCCTTCTCTGCTGCAGTCTAATGAGGTCTAAGAAAAAAATGCTTCTGCTAACAAGTATGTAACTCACAAATCAGTGGGATAAAACACTACAGTAATTCTACAAGTTTATGTCAGCCAACACAAATAATTCTGAACATATATTCATTAGTAAAATGCTTGCTGCTGTAAAAGCTCTCACAGGAGTCATGATAAACTCATATTAATGGGACTTCAGTCTCCTCATTGATGTTGTATTTTGTAAGTACTATTTAGGAGAATTATTTTCAACAGTTGTGTCAATGTTATGAGAAAATTGTTACAGAGGTATTTTGCTGGAACTGTTATTACCTGCCACTAAACTTTTCAGTTTTATTTTAACAATTTCAGCAATGGATACGTTATTTTCAGACATTACTGTCTTAGCACTATCCCTGTTAAGTTTTTAGTGTGCCTTTGTCAGTACATTTTTAGCTTTCGTTCACAATTATGAAACTTTCAAACACTTTCCACTACTGAAAGTTGTCATGTCACATTACAGTTTCCACAGGTACAATTTAATGCTCTGCTGTTTGTATTTGGTGTTTTATGAAGCAATCCAGCAACAGCTACACAGAGTTATCAATGCCAAGGTGGTGATGCTGCATACACAACAGTAATACAGACAGTGAGAGTATGCATATTACTCAAAGCTCTTCTTACAGTATCTAAAATTTACTTCTGGTGGTATCACTTTAGCTTAATCAACATCATTTGTATGCTGACTTCACGTCTTCTATTTTCATATATGTATTGCATGCATTAGCAATTTATCTGATGATCAACTATGACAGCCTTGTCCTAGATTTACAGATTCGATCCACTCTGTATTACATAATCTACACAGGATACAAGTCTGGTATAGCTACGCAATAATGGACTTAAACCTTGATCTATAAAGATTTTTCCTATGAGAAATTTAATTCAATGAGCATATGACGCTCTGAACTCTATCAAGCAGCAGCAGCATTTGAAGAACACCTTTCAGCTGAGAAGGACAACAGGACAAAGCTTCCCAGACTTGACACCATCACACCCTGACACGTCCCCGAAACGTCCTTTAAAACAAATACCAGAGAAGAGAGCCACAGTCAGTAGTAATGTTAAGTTAGAGACTTAGGACAAAGACAGGAGGCAAAGAATCTGGTTTACCAAGTCAAAATGAGTATTTTATGATCAAGGCTGTAAAATGGCAAAAAGTTATTAGCATTCCCAACAAACCACTTCATCATGAAGCACATATACATCCTGCAAAACCTTGAGATGGGAATGAAATCAGGTCTTCCAAAGCCTTGAAGGGTTGGATTTTAATCAGTAGATGTGCAGGTTTACTCTGTACTCCAAGCTAGCTATTGTGTGAAATGTTCAAATGCTATCTGCCTTTAAAATATAGGGGGTGATGGCAGAGAATATTCATCAAGTTTTAAAGCCAACAAAGTCACTCAGGCTTGTAGGCCATCAGGACATGCTGCAAATAACATTCACAAGGGAAATCTGAGGTCTGTCAGACAGAAGTGTTTGCCAGGAAATGAGATCTCATGTGCTGTGGGAGTAACTGTTGCTGGTTCAGTGCTCCAGCTTGCCATTTAGTTAGGGGTTCCCAGAGGTAAAATTTTGCAATGATTAGTAGAAGAAACTGTTAATAACATATGGTGAAGATTTTTTCCAAACATTTGTCCCTCCATTCATTGTCGGCCCAATAGAGTAATCAGTAAATCAATTTATGACTGTGCATTTTTTTAATCATACTTTCACCCCTTTCTACATGTTGAATAGACTAATATTAGTATCATTTTTCTCTCTAGTTTTTATTGGTTAAAAAGTATATCTAATAAAGGTTGTTAGCATTCTTTCACATAATCCATTGTTTTTAGCACCACTGTTGATTTTTTTGTATATATGCTTCAAACACTGGTGTTTTGATCAGACATAGTCTGCTGCTCATCAGTGAAGATCAAAGTCACACTTCTTTAGAGCTTCTAAAAGAAACAAGAAATTTTTTCTTTGAGAAATAGTACAAAGAAATTATGGATAAAGATCAAAAAAGTACAGAGGGTTTCATATCATTCATGGTACTTACACCATTCAGCAATCACAGGTGCACAGCGTGGTGCAACCTGACAGTACTACCATGTACTGTTACTTGCACAGCCCATGTCATCCCTGATTCCCTCTTCTGTTTCTGCTAGCCTGTACTGCCTGAAGTACCTGTGCAGTCTCTTTGTGAAGGAAATTGGGGAAATAACCTTTCTGAAAACTAGCTTTTGCTCCTACCTGGTCGTCTTTCCTATGAATAATTCCCCTTGTTGAGACTGGCCACATGGTTACACAAATGCTTTTGCCAACCCAGCTTTTCAAGCTAACATTACTGAAGGTCCATGCACAGATTCTTGGCTCAACTAACCCTGAGAGGCATCAGTGCACAGTCCACAGGCTTATCTTGGAGAACATGAGTAGTCTCATTAAGGTCTAATGCAGAAGTGCTTTGCTGGCCGTGCGCCAGGCTGCTCAGATTCTTTAAAAATCAAGCTTTATCTATCAAGCCAAAGAGAGACTGGGCACTCTCTCACTCCTATCACTGCTGGCTCCAGACATGGAAAGCATTACAAGCCCCAGTCTCTCTAAACTCGTGAACCTGTGTTCTCACCCTGACACATCTGATAAATGATGCCTGAAAAGGAGAAATGACAGTGACAGTACTCTAACTGATAGAAAATTATTAGCACAAGATGCACCTGGAAGACATCAACACCCTTTCAGGTATTTCCATCTGAATACAGCAAATTGTGGTAACATGCATACATGTGTAAAGTACAAGAATGTTGCACTGTACCTGGGTAATCCTCAGAGACATGCACTGAATAGGATACACTGTAAAAAAAAAAAAGGAAACATCATCATTAACTGCTGGTATAACATTTTTTCCTGCTCCTGTATTATTTCATGCTTATTTATAGGTTCTTGACAGTTTCCAGAACAGAAGGTAACAGCTATTTTGATGGCTTCTGAAGTGCTCAGCTGAAAATAAAAAGCATCATGCCCATTATGAAAGCTCACTTTGCTAAACTGGCACACCCTGATTTCAACCTTCTTAAAGGAGTATGAAGGCTGCGCTAAATTCCCTTTACAGTAACATTTTACAATATCTGTACTTGTAATTAAAAAAAAGGAAAGGTCACTCTGACTCTTTGAACCAAAACTAGTAAAGCCCAGTTTTCCCTGCATCTGGCCTTTGTGTTTGACTTAAGACTCAGGAGGAGGCCTTTCCCATTGTCTGAGGCACTTTTGTATGTTTCTGTGAATCCCAGCAAAGGCTCTGGATAGCCTGGTCTCCATTCTCTTATCAAAACTCCACATATTACGTCATATCTGTACCTTTTGGTCAAGCTGCATTCAAATCTAATTTGAAAGAACCACAGTCACACTAAAGGGTAGCTTCACTACGTGGATTACCTGAATTAGCTTCATCAGAAAAGAGTCATGCAAACACACCATCCTCAACCTCCATCTCAGTCCACATCCGTTTTCCCTATCACCCAGGGAGATCTTCACTGAACTTGCTGCTGAGAGTACGACAAATAGACTGCTCAGTTATCTAACTACCCATCAAGTCCTTCTGGTTTTAAGTGCGCATCTTCATTTTTGCATTAAAAACATTCAACTCTGCACCACACTGAAAGCTTTCTGTTGCATAATTCATGTTATTTCCAATTCTAAATCCTATAACTTGTGTCAACTTACTCATATAAATAATACATAGTATGGGCTCATGTCTGTAGTGCATTAAGCAGACAAAGCCAGGACGGCACAGTCCTCTTAATAAATTCTGGTATGTATTGTACTTGATGAAAAATTGCTGAAAACTGGTTCAGGGGATTTTTCTAAGTGACAGGAATACTGCTTCCATGTAGACAAGAAAGGTATGATTTTTAACTTTTCTCTCTCAAGGACTTCCATTAAATGAGCTCCACTTTCACAATTCAGTGACTGTAAGGGACAATCAGTACGAAAAAGTAGGTCCCTCCCACTTGCTCCCATAACTCAATCTATTAACACACAGCTCTGTCAGTTGTTTTTGCCCATCATCTATTCTAGATTATTTTATGTATTGTTTGATTAAGAGGTAAAGATGCCTGTTTCTTCAACATCTGCAAATGTTCACATAAATTGAAGCAGAAGGAGTGTTTATTACAGTTGAGCACAGATTTCATCACACAACTCTTGACAGTCTCAGTCAAGCCAGCTAAAATCCCATCATTGTGCCCATTCAACATTTTATTATTTTTCTCTTTCAATTATTTTTTTGACATTTGAAATAGGCAGCATCTGCATCCCCTCATCTTGTAGTGTTTTCCCTAAGGATTGGGTTATTTAAATCTAATTAATCTGTCATGGTGCAAAATATCACTATTTTAAATGGGGAAATATTCCAAAGTAAGGAAATGTTTTATCTCACTGCAGTCATGTAAGGAGAATTTTGCTCTGTGGTGTAGAAGAAAAACCATACAACCAAAAAAAAACACACCAGGATGTCAGTTGAGGGCCTGTTCTCACCAAAACCCATGTTCTAGATGTTGCCTTTGTTACCATTGACTTCTTCCTTCTAGTACCAAAAGAGGTACATCAATCTTGCTGTTTTAGACTGTCTCCTTGTACACCTCTTTGCTGCCTCCAGAATTTCTGTACATGGGTTTGTTTTAAAGCTGAGAACAAGGACAGGGGCTGAAGAGTTACACAACTTCCATCAGTCCATATACTCAACTGGGTAAGGCCAGCAGCAATCTAACCTCATTTTAAAGCTGGACTTGACTTACTCTATGTGCACATATGCAGAAACCCTATGGAAGTGTGTTTTCTTCATCATGTACTTATCTGAGGCAGCAGCTGCTGTAGTGATGCTAAATGGAAACTAGTAACCAAAAAACATACTCTGTGTATTGTGAGATGGAACAAATATAAAGGTTCACGAAAATGCAAGTTAGAAATAGTCTCAAACCAGACCCCGTGATGACTCTCCAAATCCAAGGTCTGATCCAGTACCCAGTAAATCCAGTAGTAGGGAGAATAAATGGCTTGAGCCCCAAAGAAAGGTGGTGGTGCTTTGCCTGGACTTGTCATCTTGTGTTAGTTATGTGTGGACTTTGGAAGCAAAAAGCAGAAATAAAACTAATGAACAAAACAAAACTTGGATTTGCATCTCAGCTCACCTCTATGATTGTCACATATGATCACACTTTGTCAAATTTTTCTGCACTCAGGATAAACTGCTTCCTACTGACTGTGCACATGATTTGCCAGAGAACAAGATATACAAGGCTATTAAAGGTCTCTTAAGGGACTCCTGTCCTGTAGCCACCCAGGCATTTTCCCACTGACTTCAATAAGATTTAGAGCCCAGACAGAAACACAGGACTGTGATGGCTTACAGGACCTTAACCTACACAAACTTCAGTAGAGATGCAGGTGTTCAACACCTCTCAGTGTTAAATTCTCTCAAATCCAGAGAAAGCCTTTACTGAAGCAGTTTTCTCATTTAAGTACTCAGAAATGCAACTGGAATTAATTTAGGCCCGGCCCTCACATAGGAGTACAACATGATTGTTCCAGTGAGAGATGTGATTGTTCCCCTCTGGCAATGCAGATCCTCTGTACCACCTTATTGCAATTACTAAATACAGCTTATAGCACTATAATTTATTTCCATTCCCATAAACACATTCTAACCATCGCCATTGCTCGTTCAGTTATATTGCTTTAGCTACACGAACACAGCTAAACTCCTGAGTGTAAACAAAGCCTTGATGATGGTGCTATTCCTGTTTTATTCAGTCCAGACCCTCTGCAGAAGACATCCCGCAATACATATTTTGCTTGACCCTTAAGCTTAGAACAAACTTCATACCTGAAATGGCCTAGTAAAATTTTTTTTATTTAACAAACAGTAAAGCACCATGTGAGAAATTAGCGGGAACTGTCAAGTCTTACTGCTTATGTGTTTTTAATGTAAATTTCTAATTGCTTGAAATAATATTAACATCCACAGCCTTGGCTTAGTAACACTTTAAATCACAGAGTCTCACTGCAGGCATTTTTTGATGTGTTTTAACCATATCTGTTCCTTCTTCAGAAAAATTATTCTGCAACAGTTTATCTCCACTGGAGAAATAATTCATCAACTAGACGGGGATGCACCATGTAATTGCTATTTTCAGGTTAATCTGTCCCAAATGAATATAAAAAAAGCAGATTCATCTGCATTTGACATTACTATAATTTATCAAAGCTAGTTAAAAGAAGTGGGGAGTCCAAACTGATTATACTACCAGACAAAATGTTACTCCCAAATTGTATTTCTAGGGCAAAGGAAAATATCTATGAAAACTGAAAAAGACAGCAAAGCAAAAGATACTTTGATAAAGTACATTCATAAAAAGGAAAAGAACCAGCTTCACCTCCTTACATCAGTTTGCAAGACTGCTTCCTGAGTTTTGAACTGTAGTTTTACCTACCATGATACAACCCTAGCATCAAACCTTCATCCTAAAGCCACTACAGTAACACAGTAGCTGGGACGTAGCTTCCCATCAACTCTGTGTTATCTCAGCTCTAAGCCACTGATGCCTCAGAGCTTTTTTTGGATTTTTTAACTTTTACAGATTTTAAATATAGGTTCTCTCTAGGAAAGAAACCCTTCAAGCTGAATTTCCAGCTGTTTTGCACAGCAGGAACAGTGTGAAGCATCTGGCACAAGTCTAAGATTTATGCCTATGTATTAGTTATGACAATTCAACCAGCTCTGTTGCATGGCAACAACTAACTTACTGCCTTATTAAGTGTGGAAACTGTGGAAAGTGGAAACTATTCCACTTTTAGTTGTCTCCAGTAGAGCCAGAGCTCCATGTCCTAATGCAAGCTTGCAAACTTGCTGAAGAAAGAAAACAAGATTTTTTGTCATGTGGAGTCTTACAGTAGTCTAACACCAATCTGTAACAGGATACAATATCCCAAAATCTCAGATCTAACCCATTAGTGATGTAATGCAATAAGTTACTGGGATGCACAAAATTTTATACCTGAAGAATACTAAGACCCAACAAACCAAGCTGTGGATAAATATGTAAGATTAAATGCTACTGTAAATGTAAGATTATATGCTCAGGTTAACACCTGAACAAGAAGGTGAGATGAAAATAATATTACTGAAACTTCGATACAAAAAATAAAATTATCCTGGTGACAACTTAGGACCAAAGGGTCTTTTTAATTACCTACATAAGACTTCTGAAAATACAACATGACACAGAAATTATCTTTTTGCTCTCTTCTAGTGAAGTAGTAAAAAGGAATAAGGTCCAGTTGAAGAGATGCAACTGAAATTGTACTCTTTTACAAGTTTCTAGATATCAGCTCTTAAAATTCATACTCATTTTCAGTAGTTACACATAACGTGCCACGTAGATTAACATTTCACTAATGTCCACTAATTATATAGAAAATGTTTCCACTCCCATCTTCAAGCCTTTGTTTTCTTATCTTTGAAAATGCTTTCAAATTCTTCAGTGGATTCCTATTATTGTCACAGCTTTTAGCCTCCTCTTCCACTTCAATAACACCACCATTTGATCCTGAAACCAGACCATTCATATTGCTTTACTTCTAACCAGCCTTCTTCTTCAAACAAATTTCCAAAAAAGCATTCCACCATGAACACAAGTCACTCTCTTTCCTAGTAACTGTTCTGAGACCCAGTTTGAAATTTAATAGGTTGACAATACATCCCATCACAAATACAGGGTGGAAATTATGATTTGCAGAATGCATATTGTGGGATTCCACCCAAACAAAACTTTCAAATTGCATTTCTAAAATAG